CCTGAAAATCAGGCCTGAATGTTGGTGGGAAAATCTGTGCAAAAGATAATAGCCAACCGAAATACATCTGGACTGTGTATTTGATTATGGTGCTATGCCGCTCTGGGAGGGGAAGGGTGTCTGTCCTTCCGCCTTCCCCCTCTGCGGCAGTGACATGGTGACCTGTATCTTTTAGAGCCTAATGAACAGCCAGGTATGTGACTGCATTGACGAGGCACGTGGGGCTTCATGGGATGGGGGAGGGGGGGTAGAATCGGCCCTGCTCCTCGGCATGACAATGCTCCGGGTTGCCACCCTCAAACGCCTCCTCCGGCTTCTGACCGACCATGAACCCAGAGGCACACATAGCAATCTCAGAATTCAGGGGCTTCTGGAAGTAATCCCTCTAGATTTATTACTAAAATATTAGAAATCCAAATTCACGTGGCTGCTATATTGGCCACACAACATCATATGCTCTTCATAATCAGCATTAGAAAACAAATTTTCTAATGCTGTCTTTGTGGCAGGTCTGAATGTTGGGGAAAATTCCAAACAACAATGGTGGGTCTTTTGTCGTAATATTGAATGTGATCAATGTAGATAGTTAGAGAGAGAGAGAGTAAAGTAGAAATCTGCCACACAGGTGGGGGGTGGGTGGGAGAGGGGTATACTGGGGTTCTTGGTGGTGGAAAATATGAAGTGGTGAAGGACAGGTGTTTGTTCATTGTATGACCGACAGAGACTTGAAGTGAAAGTCTTTATTAGTGTTCTCACGGTGATTCAACAAATAAATAAAAAATATTAAAAACTGTCAATAGATGTTTAAAATGTTAAAATCATTAATAAAATGTTTAAAATGTTATGTAAAAAAACACTACCAAAAGAAATAAAAGAGGACATTAGGAAATGGAAACCCATACCTGTTTATTCATTGAAAGGATTAATGTTATCAAATGGCAACTTTACCCAGAGTATTATACAGATTTAATGCAGTTTCTATAAAAATACCCTAGACATTTTAAAAATACATAGCTCAAACAATGTTTAAATTTTTATGGTGTAATAAAATCTGCTGACCAGCAGGAAGAATTCTAGAAAAATGAAGCTAAGAGATTTCCCTTTCTCCAACTTCATAAGGCTGTAGTAATCAAAACCTGGGACCTGGAGTGATAGTACAGAGAGTAGGTCATAGTACAGCAGGTTGATCACTTGCCTTGCACGCGGCTGATCAGGTTTGATCTCCAGCACCCTTTATGGTTTCCCTTACACTGCCACAAGTAATTCCTGAGTGCAGAGCTAAAAGTAATCCCTGAGTACCACCACGTGTGGCCCCCAAACAAAGAAACAAACAAAAATCCAGTGTGCTACTGGAATAAGAACAAACTCTTAGTCAATGGAATATAATTGAGAGTCCAGAGAAATATCCTTGGATCTATAGACAGTTAACCTTCAAAAAGTGCCAAAAGTATGAAGTGGAACAAGGAAATTATTTTCAATAAATGGTGCTTAAAAACTGGTTGATCACAGGCAAAAATTTACTCAGAGGCCTTTCTAATGATATGCACAAGAGTCAACTAAAATGATTAAAGACATCAATATTAGATCTGAATCCATAAATTATATGAAAGAAAACATAAGAATACTTCATGACATCAAATCTAGAGACATGTTCAATGATTGAATGCTTTTAACCAAACAAAAAAAAAGTAAAGACAAATTGACTACATAAAACTAAGAAGACTTCAGCACCACAAAAGAATTGACAAGACCAAAAAGACATCTCACAGACTGGGAAAGAATATTACTCACTAATCATCTGATAAAGTGTTAATATCCAAGATATGTAAAGCACTGGTAGGACTTCACAAGAAAAATATAATTACTCCTGTCAAAAATGGCTGGGGGAAGATGAACAGAAATTTCCTCAGAGAAGACATACAGATGACCAAAAATATATAAAAATTCTCATCACTTATCATCAGGAAAATGCAAATCAAAAGAGTGTGATCCTCAACTCACATGAGTGAGCCTGACACGTATCACAAAGATGCAAGACAACCAGCATTGCCATGGATGTGGGGGGAAAAGGACTATTGGTGGTGGGAATGTTGACTTATCCAAACTTTGTGGAAAACAATGTAGATGCTTCTCAAAAAAAAAAACCTAGAAATTGAGCTCCTGTATGACATAGCAATTCCCTGAAGGGTCCAAAGAACCTATTCAGAAAACATTTTTACTCCTATCTTCATTGCCACTCTAGTCTCAGTGGTCAAAATCTGAAAACGAGCCAAGTGTCCAGGAACAATGATTGGATATAGAAACTATGGTCCATTGATACAATGGACTACAACTCGGCTATAAAAAAAAGATGAAATAATTAAATTGGCTTCTACATGGATAATCTGGAGAATTTCCTGCTGAGTGAAGTTAGAAGGAAAGAGTCAGCCACAGGAAGATCTTTTTCACATATGGAATATAAAGAAATATAGAAGGGACTAAAATGCCCAAAGGCAACAAAAACTGAGACGTGGTCTTCAGTAGAAAGTTTACCATGGGAGAGAATAAGGTATAAGAGAATGGGGATTATTATTTAGGATCTGATTTTAGGGCAGGCTTGGGTGGTGGTGGGAACATTCTAAATAATAGTGGTGGGAAGGTGTATTGGTGGGATTGGTGTTGAAATATTGAGTGTAATAAATTGCTGTGAACAACTTTATAAAAATAACATTAAAAAATAAATTAAAAAGAGAATGGGGGTGGATACTGGGACATGGTGGAAGGAAGAGATGACTCCAGTGGAGGGTATAATGCTGGATTGACTTATATAAGAAACCTTCTGTTAACAGTACTATATACCACGCTGCCTAACATAAAATACATTTTTGAGTATTTGGAATATGTAGAAAATTATTATTATTGGATATCCCTTGAAACTGAGATAGGAGTTGAGAAATTTTAAATAATTAAAAATTCAACTAAATTAAAATTAAATTTAAATTTAATTAATTAAAAAAGAAATAATTTCATATTATTTTGTACATGATTACATATTAATATAATATAAGGCATCTAAAATATAATAGCTCATTTAATGGATCACTCAAACAAACCTTTACCTATGGATTGACATTTCCACTGTCTTTAACTCTCATTGTTAAGGTCTCAAGTTATTATCTGTATGCATTTCAGTGTGTGTGATTATGTGTGTATGTATCAAGGCAGCATACATAAGACATATACTTTGAAATATATTTAATAGAGATTACTATGTTATGCACATGTCTTCAAGACTTTTTGGGTGTGGTGACACAGAATAATATTGACATTTGGGAAATGACTGTGACTTTTAGTCACACCATCTGACTATGAGTCTGAAACCTATACCAGAACTTGTGTCCTAGGCCAAATTTTTTATAACTTGCTCTCCAGCTGAATATAAAAGTACTTTAGACAAGTTTATAAGTAACAGAAAATGTTACTGATTTTTTGGTTTGTAAATACGTTAAATCAGATTTTTGTCAATTAAGTCATAAGTTATATGAACATTGCTCAATTCCTTTTAAAAATGTGAAAGCATTTCCAGAAGGGATGACCTTCTATTTTTAAGAGTTTCCAACTTCCCCCATGATGCCTTCAATAACTAATCAGAAGGTAAATTTCTTTCTCCGAGCTAAAAGAACAACATTTCTATCACATCCACTTAAATGAAAGAGGAATTCAAGAAGAGGACTCTAAGATGAGCAATATTTAAGTGGGAGGAGAAGAAGCTTGTTTGAAAAAAAACAAGAGGAAAGGTGATTCAAATTTCCTTGCTGAGACCATGCCCTGTTAAAAACTTCCACTTATGCTCCATACTAGACACTATACAGCACTAATGTTCAATGACCTAATCAAAAGCATGGTTTCTACCAAAAAGAAGACTAAATTTACTACAAAATTAATGGAGAGAAACACATGTAAAGAAGGAATAGGTGTGTCACTCTTCTCCCTGTCAGCAAGCTTCATTCCTGATTTATTTAACTTATGCTGATAAAGGAGATAAATGTTTAAGTGATGGGCTTCAGATGCTGTTTCAGTTCTTACCAAGAATATTTTCACAGTTACTTCTCATGAATAAGTTCAGTGGAGCAGAGAATGTCCCTCTTGGACCAGTTCCACCATTTGCTTCTTTTGATGCAACCAAAATGGGGAACTAGAACACTAGTTTTTACATCAAATTTAGAGCAAATGTCCACATCAGAGGTGGCCAAAAAAGGTGAGGCTCATACTCGGCAGAGATAGCAGAAATGCACATAACAAAAGCAGAAATGGCCTGGTTCTTGAATATCAACCAAATATGGTGGCAAGAAGGGTTAATATCCCCCTTTTTTGCACTCAGCTTTCTCCAAAGTGTTAGCCCATCACACGGATGGCTGACTTTCTAGAAATATTCCCTGGCTGTGTGGGGACGTTCCTTTCAATAAATGGCATCCAGTTTGCTCATGGTCCCTGGAATCTCAATTTCCTCAAAGGATTTTTCATCAGTGTTCAGTTCATGGGAAGTTTTCTTTTTTCCTTCTTCATTTTTCAGCATAAGGGAATAGGCAGAGCCTGCTTCACTTTTTCTTTTTTTCCCTTTCTGTATTCTTCTTTTTTTTTTTATAAAGTGAAAACCTTTGCTGAAGAGTCTGAAATTTGGGAAAAAATCCAGCTCATCTGTCGGATATTTCTAGAGTTACGTAAAATGGAATGAGATTTGTACAGTTTAGAACAGGAAAAGGAAAATAGGCTAATGTGTCATGTGTTGTATGAGATGAAAACTATATGATAATCAGAAAAACAGTCCCAAATTTAGTTGGCCTGATTCAAAGCTCTCATTCTTTTATCAACTCATGCATAAACCAGTAACATTCACTTTCTTCTCTTAGAATAACGAAATGGCCACAGTGGGACTAAATCCCAATCCCTACAGATTATAACCATATTTTCAAAAAATTACAAGCAAGTACCTTGCGTTTTTAATAACTCAATACACTTACGTTTTATTTGCTCTGCTTTGCTTCCTTCTAGGAAAAGAAAGAACAGCAACAAAGAAAAGTTGTATTTCATGACTCCCATTTTCCACCTTTTTCTCATCTTGGCTACTTCAAAAGGTAAGTCAAAAGTTTCAGGGCCTGATGTATTCGCACTGTTGGGAGGGAAAAAAAGACTTAAAAACAAATCCTTTGGAACTGATGGAGATCATTGGTGCTTAGGCCTCTAAGTCGCTAGAAAAATAAAAAAGCTGGAGAATTTACATAAGTGCCAGCATTGTTTTCCTGAATAAGAAGGAGATCTTGTCTCCCATGTCTTATAAAGATTGTGGGAGAATAATCAAGCCAATAAACATGCATTCCTATCTAACTTGAAGACTAAACTCTTTTGGGCGATTCATAAGGAAATAAAAATAAATTTTAAAATCCTCATTTCTAAAGAAATTAAAGTTGATTTCTCAAGAGATTTTTCTTCGGGAGAAAAAGGGAAACTGAAGTTTGCAAAACGGCTACATTGGCAAACAATATGAAAGTAATAGGCATGAGACCCAAACAATTTCTGAAACAAAAGTTAACTAATCTGAGTTTCAAGACTACTGTTAATATTAATCCTTCAGGGATGAAGCAGAAATTGATCAATGTTTCTCTTGTGTTCTCATGAGATAAGAATCTTCATCTTGGCTACTTATTCTGAGAAAAGACTGTTTCAAGTTGCAAATAGATACAAACATCTGAATGGTTCAGATATATACATTTCACATAAAGTCCATTATGAAATAGAAACTTGCTTGGCTACTTATCTTGGGGGAAAAGACAGTTTCAAGTTGCAAATAAATACAAACACTGAAAAGATTCAGTCATATACATTTCACATAAAGATCATTATGAAATAGAAATTTGAAATAGACCACTTTTAAGGAAAATTAGGCAAATTTAAACACATAATAATTCCACATTATATCACTATACAAAAGATCATCAGAGGAAGCATAATTCTTAAATATAGGAAGCAAGCTTGAATTTCCAATCTAACGGGTATAAATCTAACATAAATTGAGTTTTAGAACACAGAAACTTTGCAACAGCTTATATCTAGTCATATAGGTCATTGCATAGGTTTTAAATTTGCAGAAATGCTTTCAATTGATGATCTAAAATATTTTAATATTCTCGAACACAACTTTTCAATTTGGGATTGACACTGAATAGGAAATAATTCATCAACCTCAGAGATTACAATCTAAATATTGAATATAAAGAGGTGAAGTATGAAATATGAAGCTAGGTCTGAAGGAATGCCAAAGGATCATTCTGGAGAACTGAATTTGAGGCAATGATGGAATTTCCGTATCTCTTACTTTCAACGCTACCAATCTGCTCAGATGTTCAAAACCCATTGTTTCAAATTATAAACATGTTAACTATGGAAGCAGTGAGCATAGAGAGTAATCTTTGCTTTTGAGGATTTGCAGAGAATGTGCCTTCTCACTTTCCTTCATAACTTGAACAAGAACTAAATTCTCCTAGGATTCTTACCCTGCCACAGGCCCCAGATCTAATGCCATGCAATTTTGGCTCACTTTCAATCACTCTATCCTCTGAGCTACCAGGTTTTCTTGAAACAAACTATTTTCATAAATAGCTTGCTCACACCAATGATGATCTTCCTGAGTCTCCTTAATAAGTTTGTTACCTAAGATTCCAAATGAGAAAAACAATTTAACCACCGAACCCAAGTTATCACAATCACATATTGATGTTGGGGGAAATTTTTTAAACCATAATTTTCTGGTCTCTCCAATCAACAGGATTGTTTTTTCTTGTACAATGGTTGGGTGATTTGGTGAACAGTAACATTGCTTCATAACTCAAGCTGGCAAGAAAGCAGCTGTTAGAATTATTTTTTGCCTTTATGGCTTCTAACTAAGTCTATAAGAAAATATTAAAGTTGGTGACTAGAAAGCAATTTCTTTTGGTGTTCCTGTCATCTGTGTGATCTTTCAAGCTGTAATAAAGTACATCAGAAAAGAATTGCTTTATAAGTATTCACTTTTGATTTACACGATCCTAAAGTCCTGTCTTGGGACTTTACAGAAATACAAACTGAGAAGAGTTCCCTCCGCAGGTCTTTTCACAATTCAATTTGTCTTCATCAATCTAAGTTTTCTTATTTCTTGAGGGGATGGTGGAGGATAGCTAAGCCATTTTGGGGGGCAACAGCAATAAAGAGAAGCAAGTATTGCTCAGAAAACATGTTCATTTTCATATTTGAAAAGAGCCACACTTTCCTTTTCAAATTATACTTTGACCCAGTTAACTGGAGTGATTTCTGCATTAACTCTGTCAGCTTCACACAGGCTGCTGTGACATCAAACTTTCATTGGCTCTTTTACAAGTTGCTTAGAAATGTAATAATTGCTTGATATATTTAGGGGGGTCCAGACCCCAACAAGAAAGCAACAAACAAAATCCTGAAATTAACAAGGTAAAGTGAGCTTTAACAAGGGAAAAAGGAAAATGTCAGAACCTAAAGAAATGTATAAATTTTTATGCATTTATGAAACATTGTTCATTTACATCAAGCAAGGGGACCAAGGCCACTTTGCCTAGTTGCCACTGCAAAGCAATCTGGGTCATGGGCATCAAAGTCTGTCTAGTCTCAGAACAGATCTTGTTAAAACAGAACCAGAGATATTCTCCAAGGAAAGCTAGAGATGAGCATATCCACCAGTTCTTCACAATCCACTGTGCTTCTTTAATCCTCTTCAGAGGTTTGACTGGCCCTGAAATCTCACATTAACTGTCATCCCTGTGATTGCTTCTAGGGTGGCATTTCTTACAGAAAAACAGTAAAAAGACACTAGAGTCGGAGGCTCATGTCTATCAGCTAAACTCTCCACACTGTACTACCCCATAAAAGTCCAGTTTGCCAGGAGTAAACTAACAATGAAACAATGGCAGATCTTGCCTAGAGTATATCGTCAGATATGATGTCTTTATTACTGGTTATGACCGACAAGCATAGCAATGCATTTAGTTTGCAAAACACCTTGCAAGGTTTTTTTTCTTTCATTTTATTCTACACAATTCTATTTTCAAAATGGGCACCCTCAAACCCAGAGAATTCCAGTGACTTACCAATTTTTAAATAGTAACAGGGCCAGAAGGGACTGGAAGGCTGGTGTTCTAGGCCTCAAACTCTGGCATTACTGTGTGGATTTCAGAGCCCAGCATTTCAAATTCTGACCCCATGGTCAGGGTCGGAAAATGAGCCCAGAGGATAACAGAACTTCTCGCCTGTCCGCTCTATTTCATTAACTTGAGCACTTATTAATCACTAGCTGGTCCAGGACGCTTCAGCCAGCAGGAAACGGTACCGACATGAGGGATAACTAAGATAGAGAGCTACTCAAGTGGAATCCCGAAGCCTCTGAACATGGAAGTCTGCAGGCCAAGTAGGGAGTGGCAAGTGGTGAGTTCGAATCTAGATCCTGCCTTGGTTCCCTCGTGCACCAGTGGCCCCACCACAGCCCTAACACAGCAGATAGACTCACTGAGCTGGGTGGCAGGTCAGGGGGAAGACAGAACGCCCTGTGTAAACTTCCAAGGACAGTTCCAGAGGCCAACAGAAGATACACCACCTGTGCAAAGGCTGAAAAAGAAAATAGGGAAAGCGGCGCCTGACACTGCTCACTGACCTGGCCATTGGCCTCTTCTGTCTTCCACGCGTGCACAGGCTCCGAGCTCCCTGGGGCGCTCCTCCGAGGTCTGGGGCTCGCAGGTTGTGGAGAGAGCTAGAGAGTGCGCGAAGGGGGAGGGGGGACTCAAAAGTGGGTGGGATGAAAAACATCACCGCCCTCACACGAGGGAGTAGCGGCTTCCTCGACTCCAGGGGGCCGAGCCAAATCACGGGTGCTGCAACCGGGGGCCACCTGCCCCGCTCGCTCCCCACTTGGCCCAAGAGGCCGCTCTTCGTAACTGGAGGGAAGTCCGTGAGCACGCAGAGGCTGAGCCCGCACTCGCTCTCCACCCCCGGGCACCGTGGTTTTATTCCTGATCCTCTAACACATTTCTTAACAAGTTAAGAAATCGGGAGAAAGTGTGGGGTTTAGCCTGCAACTTTCCCACCAAGAGACGCCCCCACAGCACCCCCTCCTCCGGCTTAGCGAGCTTTGGGGTCTTAAAGGGACCGCACATCTCCTCCGGCCCCTCCTCCCTCTCTTGTGCTGGATGCTCTAAAGAGCTCCCCACCACACTCATTGGCGCAAAAAGACTTAGACTGTGCTCTGGTTTTCTTGTCTGGGAATTCGCAATCCCTCTTCTCTCCCTCAAGACAGCCTTTCAGGGTGCACCTGGTTATGTTTTAGGTTGGTGCACCCCACACAGGGGAAACTGTCCTCGTGAAGTATGCCCTAATAAACTGCTTGTCATTTTGGAGTGTTTCCCAAATCCACATTACAAATGGTAGAGTGATAAAACCTTCCTGTCCTTCAAGACAGAGTGGAGATGAGTGTGTGAATGGAAGGAAAGGGGACAACTTCAAAGTCTCCTTTCCCCCCAAGAGTGCTCTCAGGGAAAGACTTTTAACAGCTCCTAAGGAACTTGAAAACGTTGAGTGACTCACCAAAGCCACCACTGTTCGAGGGATCCTGAAGATTATGAGTTTGGCCAACAGCCTTGAAATCACAATAGCAAGTGGTTCTACATGGAAAGTATCATGCTAAGTGAAATGAGCCAGAAAGAGGGGAACAGACATAGAAAGACTGCACTCATCTGGGGAATATAAAGTAACAGAATGGGAGTCGAACACCCAAGAATAGTTGAGATAAGTACCGAGAGGTCTGCTCCAGGGCTTGGAATCTGGCAGCAGAAGCTGGAGGAAAAGGCAGCTCAGATAGAGAAGGGAACACCAAGTAAAGGATGTTTGGAGAACTCACCGGGATGCGAGATGCATGCTGAAAGTAGACTATAGACCGAACACGATGGCCACTCATTACCTCTATTGCAAACTACAAGACCCTGAGGGAAAGAGTGAGCAAAAGGGAATGCCCTTCCACAGAAGTGGGGTGGGGGGATGGGGTGTGAAAGTGGGAGGGCTACTAGGATAATTGGTGGTGGAGAATGGGCACTGGTAGAGGGATGGGTACTTGATCATTGTATAACTGAAACCCAAGCAAGAAAGTTTGTAAGTCTACAACTGTACCTCAAGGTGTTTCACTAATAAAAAAATAAATAAACAACATCCTCCCTTAAAAAAGCTGCTGATGAACCTGAGACAGACTAGTGCAAATTAGTGTCTATTCAATGAGTGATAATTATAAAGAATCCATCAGCATCCTCTGAGGCTTTCAAAGCACTTCCTTCACAGAGGTATCCATTTATATTTTAAGCTCCCTGAATTTAAAGAGAAGCTACATGAATTTTTTGCAACTTAGAAATAGGTATTATTGATATTCAGAACATCCATATAGCAATTTAAGGCTTACAGAGATGCACATCTCGCCTCTTATATACATGATTGTTACTTGTTTAACTCTCCAACAAACTGTGGCCTCAGGTATCAGAGTTTGTGTGGACCTTCTGGAGAATGCAGCTCAGTCCCTTCATGACACAGAAGAAGAAACTGATTGGTAGGGGTGAGAGTGTGGAGGGCAGGCAGGTAGAGGAGGAGATGTACTCAGGGTCACACAACTACTGAATATTTAAACAAGATTTCAATTCAGATTTTCAGATTTTGGAAGGTAGCATCCATAGAGGGTTGAAACCAACTACTCAATTCTATAAATGAGGAAATCATGCTCAGGAAAATAAAAAAACATCATCTCAGTAACAGAGAACAAAGGGAAATGAAACCCTCTTTTTCTTACTACAGAAGTGTTATTACTGTCCAACTAGCCCCTCCATTGTTGCAGATGTTTATTTCACATTTAATGAAGTAAAGGATGCCTTTTCTGAACTTCCTCCTCTAGGATTTGAAATATCTAGCCCTGTCCCATTTCTTGAGCTACTCTGTATCACCACATACACTGTTTGTACCATAATAAACTAGTGTCAACTTGTTGACTTTGCTGTCTTACAAATGTTCTCATGCCATTTAATGTGTTGATATTTTGTCATATTGTTTCTCAGTGAGTTCTTTAAACTGGCTCTTCATTCTCTTTGTATCTTATTCCCTCAATGACCATATTCACTGTAAAAATGCTTAAAGAGGATTCAGGAAAGTGAGTTTCAGGGAATAGCCTAGAACAGCATGAATTCTGGTATTTAAAAGCAGTAGACTCACTGAGATTTAAAAGCTCATCTACAATCACTCACTCCCCTTGATTAATTTAATAGTTTAAATTTCTGCATAAGAAACCATTCCCAAACTAATGGCTTAAAAACTTAAACCAATTTATTAACTTCAAATGATTCTTTTCAACTGGGACATTTTTGCTCAGAATCTCTTAGACATTTGGCAACTACATAAGGGGACTGCTAGAATTCTCTGAAGGAGTCTTTATTAGTGTAAAATGCTGGTGACTCTTGTATTAGTTATAGTCTTGAATTCTGAATTGGGAACACCAATTTTCAGTGAGTCTTTTAGTCTTTAGACCTGGTAAAAGTCTAGACTGATAAAAGTCTAGACTTTTACCAGGTCTTATTCAAAATAAATTGCTCTAAATCTCTAGACTTTTGCATTTAAGAATGTTATATGAAATTATGCAGTTTGTGTGTGCAAGATTGATTTTTATGTTCAATTCTCTGGAGATACATTCTATTTGTTTCAGATATCAGGAACTTGTTTCTCTGGGGACATTGGTGGAGGGAAGTGAAAACTGGTATTGGACATTGCATACTTGAAACTCAATAATGAATATCTTTGTAAATCATGAAGCCCCAACAACCTTTGGGAGGAGGAGGTTGGGCCACATCTAGCAGTTCTCAGGGCTTACTCCTGGTTCTGTGCTCAAGAATCACTTCTGATGGGCTCCAGGGAATCATATGGAGTGTCAGGGCTCGAACCTCTATCAGCAGCATGCATAGCAAATGCTGCATCTGCTGTACTATCTATCAGGCCCTAATGAACTTACTTTCGAGAGATCCTGTTTCTTTTAATGTTAAATAGTATTTTTGTGTTGTTATCTTTTTGGTTTGGGGTCATATCTGGCAGTTCTCAGGGCTTACTCACAACTCTGAGGTAAGGGATCACTCTTGGAGGGGCAAGGGACCATATAGGCTACTATGGATGGGACTTAGGTCAGTTGTGTGAAAGGCAAGTGCCGTACACTCTGTATTATTGCTCTGCCCCCGTTGAATAGTATTCTGTTGTGTGAATATATTATAACTTATTCAACTATCCATCCATCATGGCAGAACTTGATGGCAGAGTTGATTCCTGATCAGGAAGTTAAAAATAAAGCTGCTAGAAACACTTGTCTGATAAAAAGATTACATTCATCTGGGGGACATAAAGTAACAAAATAGGAGATTAATACCCAAGAATATCCGAGATCAGTATCAGGAGGATTGCTCCATGGCTTAGAGGCCAGCCGGGCATTCTAGGGGAAAGGACAGCTCAGATAGAGAAGGGAGCACCAAATAAAGGGTGTTTGGAGGATCCTCCCAGGAGGGGAGATGCATGTTGAAAGTAGACTATGGACTAAACATGATTGCCACTCAATGCCTCTTTTGCAGAGCACAACACCCAAAAGGAGAGAGAGAACAAAAGGGAATGCTCTGCCACAGAGGCAGGGTGGGATGGGGGGATGGAGGTGGGAGGGATACTGGGATCTATGGTGGTGGAAAATGGGCACTGGTGGAGGAATGGGTATTTGATCATTGTATAATCGAAACCCAAGCACAAAAATTTGTAAGTCTACAACGTACCTCATGGTGTTTCACTAATAAAAAAATAAATATATAAATAAAGAAAGAAAAAAAGAAACACTTGTCTGCAGATTTTGAATGAAAGTAAATTTTCCCTTCTCAACAAATGCCCAACAGCGCACTTTCTGGGCTCTGTGGTATGAATATATTTAAATTTATAAAGTACGATTTAATATTGCTCCATGAGTATTAAGAGATCCATTTTTCTTCTTCTTTCTCAACATTTACTGTTGCTATTTTTGTTAATTATTCTGATTTGGTATAATGATATCTAATTTTTATGATTTTTAATTTCCATTTCCCTGTGGTATCTACCATATTTTCATGTCTTAGATATCTATATATCCTCTTTAGTGAAATATTTCACGATGTATTTCACACACTTTCAAATTGTGTTGTTTTCTTGTAGTTGAATTTTTAAATTTCTGTATATATTCTAAATAGTGTTCCATTATTGCATATGTCATTCACAAATATTGTTTCCTGCTTATATCTTGCATTTTATCCTCTACACATGTGCTTTCATAGAACATAATATTTTAGTTTTATAACATCCAACTTATTGTGTGTTACATATTATGTTTTGAGGTTAACCTAAGAAAACTTGCCCTGGGCCAGAGCGATAGTAGAGCAGGTAGGACATTTGCATGCAGTAGACCTGAGTTCAATACCCAGCATCCTATATGGTCCCCCAAGCACCACCAGGAGTAAATTATTGAGTACAGAGCCAGGAGTAACCCCCCTGAGCATAGCTGGGTGTGACTCAAAAAAGCAAAAACAAAAGAAAATGAAAACTTTCCCTAACCCTTGGTTTTGAGTGTCTCCTCCTATATTCTTGTGTTATTTTAATATAGTAGCTAACGTTTTATATTTAAGTTTTAAATCTATGATTCATTTTTAATAAATTGTTATAGAAACTCTGAAGTTTAGATCATAATTCTTTTTTTACCTATAAATATCTAATTGCTGTATCATAATTTTGGGGAAAAGTTACGTGTCCTCCATTGTAGACCATTTAAACTT